ACATTCAGTCTTTGCCTAGAAGAGCTTCATCAACAGATGTTAACTCAATAAATGACATCAAACCCAGAAGTGTTTGTCTAGAGGGTTTGGGACTGATATGGTTCAGATACTAGATTTCATTAATTTTCATAATAGGTTCTTCTGACTGTGAAGTTGCAATTCTACTTATCTTGATCAGCATCTATTGAGTGAACAAATATGGAAATGTTTCCTTGCATCAGATCCTCTGATGAAGTTCCATCTTCTTCTTATCAGAGTAAGCTTTAGATCTTCTGATGAAGTTCTATTTCTCCCCTTATCATAGTAATCTTCAGATTTTCTGATGAAGTTCCAGAGTAAGCTTTAGATCTATGCAGCTTAGCTCTAGCGAATGTTTCAGTAAGTTGTTCATCCAGAGGAACGCTTTAGATCAGAGCAGATCTTCGTTCTTCAGATGTCCTTGTTATCCAGAGGTAAGATTTGTTGCTAACATTTCAGAGCCATGCGTAATCTGATTCTCAGAGCCTCTGCAGTTGTAACCTTTGAGATTAGTACGCTCAGAGTCTTCTGAAACATTGCTTTATACTATTCGCTCAGAGTTTTCTGAAATGTTGCTTTCAACCAACCGCTCAGAGTCTTCTCTAGAGTTGCTTCCTCAAAGTCTTATGTAGCTTTACTTCCTGTAAAACACTCAGAATCTTCTGAAGTGTTGTGGCTTATCATTCAGAGGAATCTGTAGCTTAACGTTCAGATCATTCTGTAGCTTAGCATTCAGATCATTCTGTAGCTTAATTTTAACTTCAGCAAAATCAGCGTCACAGAAACCTCTTCTTTTCCCAGAGTGCTAGTTGGATGCATGGAAGTCTTAGTTGACTTATTTTCTGTCAAATTAAACTTCTTCAGAAGCTCCTTCACATACTTCATCTGATGTATGTAGATGCCTTCTGGAGTCTGAGTAACTTGAATGCCCAGAAAGTATCTTAGCTTTCCCATCATGCTTATTTCAGCTTCTGCCTGCATACACTTAGCAAACTCCTTTCCAAGTGAAATATTTGGTTCCAAAGAAAAATATCATCAACATAAATCTGACAGATTAAAATATCTTTCTTAATTGATTTATGAAAAAGAGTTTTATCAATCTTTCCTCTGATAAAATTATTTTTCAGAAGAAAGTTACTCATCCTTTCACACCAAGCTCTGAGAGCTTGTTTTAGGCTAAAGAATGATTTCTTTAATTTATAGAACGTGTTCTGGAAATCTTTCATTTTCAAAACCAGGAGGTTAATGAACACATACTTCTTCTTCAACTAAACCATTTAAAAAGTATTTTTAATATTCATCTGATTTAGATTGATGTTATTCTGAGCAACAAAGGAAATTAACATGAGTATGGATTCTAACCTTGCCACAGAAGCATATGCCTCTGCTTAGTCAAAACCTTCTTGCTGACTAGCCTTGAAGATATGAGGAAGGATCTTGTTCTTGTGAGAGGAGCCAGTAACAACATTTGAAGTAGGATCTTCTAAATTTCTCTTATGAGCTGATCTCATATCCTTTGGTTGCGTTCTGCAGTTTCTTCATCAACACATCATCCATCTGATTCCTGAGAGACATCTTCAGAGCACAAATATTCTAATCTTCATGATTTAGAGCATCTAACTTCCATCAAGCTTCATCTTCTGATTTTGTTTGATTGAAACAAATGCAGATCCAGTCTAGACACAATCATCATCAAACTCGGATGCATCAAATGACACAATCTAACTGACAATTTTGTTCTTACAATGCTGAGCTAACTTGTATAGAGTTAGTTCATCAAGAGTTGCCAGTACATCTACTTCTGAAAAAGGATGTCTACTAACTTATTCATTCTGAATAACACCAGAGACTTAAATCCCTTTTTAAATCAGACAGAATGACTTCTGTCATTGTATCTTTCCAAACAATTGGATTTCTCAAAACATTCATCATGAATTTCTGAGAATAATGTTTGATAACATTTGACCAATTACAGTTTGTTCAACTGAGATAAATTCTCAAGTTAACAGAACTTAATTGTCCATGCTACTTCTGTTAAGATTTCAGAGCTCATCTATCATCATATCCTAGTAAGTTAATAAACTTCCTTTCTTGAAACCTCTGCAAATTTCTTTGAAGTTTTTCAAGGAGAACAACTTTCAGATGCCATGAATCAGAAGAATCATATCTTCAAGATTTGAACATATCTCTGAACTTGCCCTTTTCTGCAGACTTCATTCTGAAGTTCTTAAGAATCAAATTCATTAGTCAACAATATTTCTTTTCTTACTTAAGATGATTCCCAATGAGCTTTTCATAAGAAAGTCAAGAGTGGACTAATCCGTTTCTTGAAAACATCTCATACTCACATAGGATTAATCTTCAGCAAAACAAGATTTCTTGCTTTCTGATGATTTAATCTTTGAGCGAATACGTTGTATATCCACACGTATTTTAAGATAAGCATTCAACAGATATAACTTCTTATCTGATGAGTCTATCTTTTCATCTGATTCTTCAATCTTCTGAAGATTTAATGAAGGAGATTTTATTGTTGATAACTTCAAACTTCAACCTTCAAGGAATCGGTGACTTGCTCAAGGTAACCCAATAGATTACAATGTTAGTACTCATTTTCATCAATATCTGATATGAGACTGAAATTGTAAGAGAAGTAAAAAATCCCCAAGAGAATTTCTTCACATAGCTTTTGGATCTTTATCTGACACTGTTAGGTGTTTGATATCCATCAATAACAGAACCGGAGCTCTGATACCAATTGAAGGTGTGAGAAAAACACAAGAAAGGGTGGGGGTTTGAATTGGGTTTTCACCTCATTAAACTTTTTCGCCTATTCACTTGTTGCTTTATAAGTTCTAAAAGATGCATTGCGGAAGCATAAATGATAAAGCATAATAAAAGTAAAGAACACATGATATATCCTGGTTCACTTAAGAAACTCTCAAGCTAATCCAGTCCACCCTTCCAAGGTGATTTCGCCTCTCTCAATAGAGGTCTTAATCCACTATAACCAAACTGATTACAGATGCACAAGCAAACTGCAGGTGACTAACAAATAGACAATGACATGTTCAGGGATCCCTTAGGATATAACGTTCATTGACACCTAATAGAATTCAATCAATTAAGATCTCCTATTAGATTCCACAAATGACTACAGTCACTTGTCATGTCAAGTATTCTGATCTTCACAAGATCACTTGAGAAACCACTAATTCTAAATAGAATATGTGTTGAGGAACCACTTAAAGTTCATAGCAAGTATTGAGCAACAACTCCTTGCTTTCTAATATAGAAAATAACTTAAGAATGAATCTCTATGAGATTATAAGAACACTAGTTTCCATATTGCTTAAAAGCTTTCTTATGTGAGCACTACAGCTTTTTAGCATAAAGCTTTTGTTGTTAATCAACTAGCTTGTTAACATGCTTGTCAACCAGCTACGTTGCCAACATGCTTGCCAACTTCCTAACATTTGAATGAATGAAATGTTCTTCTTTTATAGTGTATTCAAGATAGTTGTTGTGAGGGTAGAGATGTCCTTTCAATATTCTAACGGTTATTTCCAACGGATAGAATAAGCACACGTTAAATAGTATAATGACATCACTTTCTTTGTCCTTTTCTTGTAACGTTAATATATCATTGTGGAAGACAACTCTTATCCACAAATGATGTAATCTTCATTTATCATCTTGGACAGATCAGCTTCTGGCTTTGGTTCTTCTGATGATGTATCTGATGAGTAGTTCATAAACTACTTTGGTATGATAGCATAATAACATCAGAGTTGTTTGACTTCAGCACCTTGTTTATCAGAGTGGATAGCAGCAACTTATCTGATTAACACGTCTTTCCTGGGTGAAGCTATATAATCTTCAATTTCAGAATCTAGTCTTCAGATTCTTTCTGTACTTGGTCTTTAGAGCCTTCAACCTTCAGATCTTCAAGTCATCAGAGTCTTCAGCATGTAGTTCTTCATAGGATTATATCTTCAGAGTCTTGATCTTCAGAACCCTTAAGTCTTCAGAGTCTTTCTGCACTTGGTCTTCAAAGCCTTCAGCCTTCAGAGCTTCAAGTCATTAGAGTCTTCATAGCTTGGTTCTTCAGAGGACTATATCTCAGATACGTTGTTAGCTTCCAGATCAGATACACATCTCAGAGCAGAATCCACAGGAGTATTGCAACCGCAATATACAACATCCTTGGATCTTACTGATTATGATCAAATACAGATGCATACTTGTATCTTCAATACGCTTTGTTTGCTTTCAGATCAGATGCACTTCTCAGAGAAGAATCCACAAGAGCATTACAACAACAATATACAACATTCTTGGATCTTTCTTATCATGATCAGATACAGATGCAAACTAGCTTCTGCTATAAGACACGTCACACATAATAACTCATATAGAGTATTAAATGCACATCTTGATATTGTTTGTTTGATCTGATATCTTTATTTAACGTGATCTGCACACAACAAACATTAGAACATAAAATGGTTCTTTCATAAATACTTCATTGTTATCATCAAAACATGGAGAAAACTTGCAAAGACAATTCTTGTTCTTACATAGTCTTGGGCCTCACAATTTGGGTTTTTCCCTCATTACCCTTACTAACTCCTCCAAATGCCCAAATTACCCTTATTCCTCTTATGTTTATTTTAATTCATAATAATATTAATAAATCCACATTACATGCTATTATTCCAAAATAAATACTCCAAATATGCATAGTTCCTCAATAATTCCCAAAACCACCGAAAATACCGAAAACACCAAAATATGAATATTCTCAATTAAATAAATAAATTAAAATATTTTGATTAAATTTGGGGTGTTACATTATCCATTTCACTTAAACCTGCATTCCCCATCATTTTTTGCAGGTCTTCATATTCCTTTTCAGCCACTAGATTTCCTCCCATTCTGTCCTGGGCTTTTGTTACATTATTGTAGTCCCCAACAACACACTAAGGTCCTTGGATGTTACCAGACAGGTGTTCTATTTCTTTCCATAGGATTCTTCTCTTGTTTAGTTGGTTATGAGCATATACAACAGTTAACCAATGCTTGAAACCTCCAAGGTTATCATAGATACCACAATGTATAAATTGGCTGCTACTTTGTATGAACCTCACGTCCACCCTGTTACTATTCCAGTGAATCCATATTCTACCATTCATATGGTCTTTGTAATTATCCACGTGCTTATCATATATCATCAGTTTCTCACGAATGACCTTGGCTTTAGCTTCTTTAACTCTAGTTTCAATCAAAATGATAATAGCAGGCTTTAGCTCTTGGAGACGTGACCTAATCTCACAAATTTTGCCTACTTTATTGAGTCCCCTTATGTTCCACGAGACTAACATGGTTCAAGGTTTGTGACCACTTGATGGTCATTCAAAACCTCAAGAGCTTCAAAACCATTGTTACAGTTGATGCTGCTATCAATATCAATCAAAATGCTCTTACCTTTATCTCGTACAAATTTTCTCACTCTTGTCCATGATTCACCTGCTTACCCTATTTTTCCTCTCTTTCTGGTTGTTTTATGGGCGTGATATTCTTGGATGTTTCTGGTGGCTTGGGTTTTGGTTTCCATTGTTGAGTATGTCGTCGGTCTTCACATTTATGCCCTATTTTTTTGACATGTTTCGCAGAATGTTGGCCTCCATTCATATTTCACAGGCTGCATTATCACATCTCCTTCAACATTTCTAATGGCTATTTCATCAATCAATTGTTGTGTAATGTCCACTTCAATCAGTAGTCTTGCATATGATACACGGAGATTGTTCGCCGTGCACTAATCAGTCACCAACGGTTTACCAATGGCACTTCCAATCTTGCTAAGACTTTTTGCCCCCCATAGATGCAGGAGAAGTTTCACCCATATTGGTAAAGTTCTTAACAGGTCCTTCTTTAGATTGAAACCATTTTGCCATTCCTTCAATATTATGGGCATATTTCGAATCGTGTATGGACCTTTCATCATCACTGCTTCCTTGTCCTTCTGGGAGTTAAATCTGAGCAGAAAATATCCGTCATCGTGGGAGTAAAGATCTGGCATTTTCACAAAATTCCACATTCTCTGCATAAAGTTCTTCATCGTGTTCATACTCAAATCATCCCCTACAACATAAAGTATTATAGCATTATCCCTAAATCGTATTTCCGTTTCAATATCGATTTCAATCACTCCATTGACTACTTTTGGCGCAACGTATTCCATTGTCAGTCCCTTTGCAGGGTTCCGGTTGTCATTAATAATATCCACCCATAGTTTACGCTCCTCCGGTTGTGCTTGTGTCGTTCCTGTTAGGGTTTCTTTGTTGTCATTCTCGAGTGTGGTTGTCACCTCTTTATTAGTTCTTGCTCCAATCTCAGGTGTCTTCGAGCTAGTATCAAGTGGCGTGGTAGTTCTTGATTCAATCTCAGGAGTCTTCAAGTTAGTGAGTGATTCCAGTGGCAGTGGCGGTGGCACCGTGGATTTCGGCCGCCCTCGTCCTCGTTACGGTGGTGGCGACATATTTTTTGAATAAAAAATTAATATTTTAATAATTAATAGTATATATTTGTTTGAGTAACCGATAAGCGAATAACAATTGAATTTTGATAGATGATACTTGTTGGTGCAAAGGTGAATAAATGATGAACAAGGAAATATTCTATTAAGAATGACGGCTACAAAAACATGATAAAAGTTACAATGATTGTCACCCTATTTATAAGCTAAAACTAGGGTTACTAGAATAAGATAAAATACTAAAATACCCTCTAACAAACTTAGGGGCTAAGAAAATAGTATAACTAAATAAATATGAATTGCTATTAATATTCTAATACCATCCCTTAATTCATATTCCATCAAAACTTGTAACACCAATTCCATCCCTTAGTCTGAGAAATTAATCAGTCTTGATAGCTTTCGTCAGAACATCTGCCAACTGCTTCTGAGTGCTGCAGTGTACAACTTCTAACACTCCACTCTGAACTTGATGTCTCAGAAAATGATACTTGGTCTCAATATGCTTGCTTCTCCCATGCAACACTGGGTTTCTGGCAAGATTGATTGCAGACTTGTTGTCAATCATCAACTTCAGAGGTTTGTCTACTTTAATCTTCAGATCCTGCAACAGATTCAGAATCCACACAGCTTGGCATGCAGTAACAGCACCTGCAATGTATTCAGCTTCACAGGTTGACAACGCCACAACAGGTTGCTTCTTGGAACACCAAGAAATGGAACCTCCCAGAAATTTGAACAAGTACCCAGATGTACTTCTTCTGTCAACTCTGTCTCCACACCAATCAGAGTCTGAATAACTCAGAAGTTCTGACTCATTATTTCCTCCAGAGGGAAATAACACTCCATACTTCAGAGTTCCTTTGATATACCTCAGAATCCTGACAGCAGCTTGGTAATGGGACCACTTAGGTTTACTCATGAACCTACTAACCATCCCAACTGAGTAGCAAATATCAGGTCTGGTATTGCACAGATACCTCAGAGAACCAACCAACTGTTTGAAGGTTGTAGCGTCCACATCCTTTCCTTCAGAGTCTGAATCCAGTTTCTGATTTGTATCAGAAGGTGTGACAGCCATCTTACAATTCTTCAGATCAAATCTCTTCAGAAGTTCTAATTCATACTTGAGCTGATGCAAAATGATACCTTTCTCAGAATATCTGAACTCCATCCCTAGAAAGTATGTCATTTTGCCTAGATCAGTCATTTCAAATTCATTCATCAGAACTTTCTTGAACTTGGCTATCTCCTGTTCAGAACTTCCAGTCAATAGTATATCATCAACATATAAACATACTAGAGTCATATTGTCTTCAGAAGTATGCTGAACATAGACACTGTACTCCATCTCACATTTCTGAAATCCTTGCTTCTTGAAAAATGAATCAATCTTCTGATTCCAAGCTCTGGGCGCTTGTTTCAATCCATATAGAGCTTTGTATAATCTGTACACCATCCCTTCCTGATTCTTTTTCACAAATCCAGGAGGTTGTGACACGTAAACTTCTTCTTCTAATGGACCATTCAGAAATGCAGATTTTACATCTAAATGCATCAGAGGCCAATTCCTGTTAGCAGCTATTGCAATTACCATTCTGATTGTTTCATGTCTTGCTACAGGTGCAAACACTTCAGAGTAATCCAACCCAGGTTTTTGTAGAAATCCTCTGGCTACCAACCTTGCTTTTATGTTTGCCAATTGAGCCATCTGGCTTTAACTTCTTCTTGAAAACCCATCTGACGCTGATGGCTTTCTTGTCTTTTGGAAGTTCTGTCAGCTTCCAAGTCTTGTTTCTCTCTATAGCATCAAGTTCTTCTTTCATGGCCTTCAGCCAGAGCTTCTGCTTAAGAGCCTCTTCTGTACTTATGGATTCAGAGTCTACTAACATGGCACACTGAATAACTTCTCCTTCAGAGTCTACTTCAGTGTCTTGCAGCATGTCAAATTCTGCAAATCTTCTGGGAACGCTTCTGATTCTTTGTGGTCTCTCAGAGGTTGAGCTTTCTGACTTCTGACCACCATCAGATCTTCTCTTGGCTTCTAACTGCTTCTGATACCTCCTATCAGAAGTTGCTTTCAGAGCCTGCTGCTCTACTTCCCTTTCAGAAGTTCTCTCAGTCAAACGCAACTCTTGCGCTTCTAAACTGCTCTGCAGCTCTTCAATTCTCATGGTACTCAGATCTTTGGAATGTTCTATTGCTACCACAATGTAATCAAATTGAGAGGTAAGGGATCTCAATACCTTCTCCATGATTGTTTCTTCAGAAAGAGTTTCTCCACACGCCTTCATCTCATTAATGATCAGAATCACTCTAGAGATGTATTCAGAAACTTTCTCATTATTCTTCATGTTGAGATTCTCATATTGCTTTCTCAGGGACTGAAGCTTCACCTTCTTCACTGATGCGTCACCATCATAACATCTAACCAGTGTGTCCCACGCAGCCTTTGCTGTCATTGAATCTGCAATCTTCTCAAACACATTTACATCAACACATTGATGAATAAAGAATAATGCTTTCTGATCCTTCTTCCTTACTTCCTTCTGCGCGTTTTTCTGTTCATCAGTTGCATCTGCTGCTACTGGAACATAACCATCAGTGACAAGATCTAAAACATCTTGAGCACCAAATAGTACACGCATTTGGATCATCCAACGATTCCAGTTTTTACCGTCAAATACTGGAAGCTTGGTGTTCATGTTGCCGTTTCCGTTCATCTTCACCTTGCACAATACACTCAGATTTCTCACACAGTGTTTCCCAACCCACAGAATAAAATTCTGATACACGAATCTAAGAATCAAAATCAAACACACAAGACCTCACGTTCACTCGTGTTTCCCAATGAATCCGAACCGGAGCTCTGATACCAATTGTTGGTGCAAAGGTGAATAAATGATGAACAAGGAAATATTCTATTAAGAATGACGGCTACAAAAACATGATAAAAGTTACAATGATTGCCACCTTATTTATAAGCTAAAACTAGGGTTACTAGAATAAGATAAAATACTAAAATACCTTCTAACAAACTTAGGGGCTAAGAAAATAGTATAACTAAATAAATATGAATTACTATTAATGTTCTAATAATACTTTTATGTTTTAATAATAATAAAAAATTATTAATAATATTATTATGTTCGTAAAAAATTCTTAATATTTTAGTTTATTAATATTATATTTTATATGGTATAATATATTAAAATTGTATTCTAATTTTTGTTTTAATAATTCATAATTATTTTATTCTGATATTGATTTTGATTTTGATTATCTATATCATTAATTTAGATTCACTTTATCTTTTTTAAATTAAATTATAATTTACTTCAATAATTTCATAATTGTCCTATATTAATGAAAACTTTGGATTATAAAAACTTTAGTATTACGTTACTTTTTAAAATTTATTTATTTGATGGTTTTTTCATTAAAAAGGTAGCATATGACGTACAATTATAAATAAGATAACAAATATATTCTTCTTGATTCAAATGTTTTTATACGGGTAAAAAGTATATTCTTGATCCAAATGTTTTTATAAATGACATAATTATTTAATATTTTTAATACAAGTTTAAATATTTAAATAATTAAACTTTATTATATTTTCACAATAAAGCAATATGTAAATTTATCATTTTTATTAAAAAAAATCCTCATTTTAAATCAAATAAATTGTTTTTATCAATTGAACATTATATAAGAATATCAATATTAACAAGAAGCATAAAACATAAATTAATAATCCATAATTTAATACAATTTTCATAGTAGTTATAGATAGATGGTGTGGTACGTACGGTAGAAATGTTAATGGATTTGTCCTATACA